GCACATTCCCCCCTCCGGCCCCGCGCCCCCCCGCCGATATCCGAAACCCAGGGCGATCCCTTCGTATCCCGAATAAGCAATCTCTCCCAGGGAAGCGAACAACTGCAGTTCCTGTAACCACAGCAATAACTGATTACCGCTTTAAGAAAACTGAGCCTCACTACCAACGTGAGTACAAAAATAAAACTTTTTGCATTATGCTTTAATTGCCAAGGGACTCTGCCTCTGTGTTATTACCTCCTCGTTCTCGCCCGGGGCGTTTAACTCGACGTGTCCGCGACATGGCGACGAGGATGGGATCCCTGAGACGAGAAGGGAAAACACACGCAGACCCCTTAGTAAAGTATTGCCCATGGGCCAACCATCAGCAACCTCCACCGTCCGATGCGGACAGCCTCTGGGCCCACATCGCCTACCACCAGGTCGCACAAAATGGAAAGTTGGGGGGCTACTTGTCCATCCAGCCGACCGACACCCTCATGCACCAAACTGGGGTGGCTAAGGAATGGGTAGTGTCCGGACTCAGCCCCGCCGCGCTAGGGTGCCTCCTGTCATGCCCCTCTGTCCTTTACCATCCCCCCGACGTAGTGGCAGAGGTCGAGCTTAGCCGGATCAAACCGATGGGTGGGGGTATTGATCGTGTGCCTGAAAAAGAATATGCTCAGTGCATACAACACCTAAAGGCAGGAGGAGGCTGTGATACCCCCCCGACAAGTTTCGTTGTCCTACTATCACCCCAGGAGGGGCCAAAAATGAAATACTAACTACATTAAGGGAAAACCTAGAAGCGGAGGGCAAAAACTCCTCTAAGTGGGGCAGACAAAAGTGGGATAAAGGAAAAATGCTTAACATCTTGTTTTGCTCGTTTTCCACGCTTATGAGACATGCCGCGAATCGGGCGAACCTTATACAGACGCTCACGAAGACGGCCGCCGACCACACTGCGACTGCACCCAAAGATGGCGCCGAAGCGGCAGAGCAAGGGCGGGGAGAAGAAGAACGAGAGACCGTGAGTAACAAAGATCCGCCCCCCTCACCGCAGGAAGCGTCCCCTGCGGCATCAGCCCCTCCCCCCGAGGCGGAAACCCCACCCCCCTATCCAGATGCTTTCCACCCAAACAAATACCTACTCGATAATTGCAACAGTGTAGGCATCGATATGGCTGCTTCCCCTGTGCATGTCAACCCAATTGCCATCGGCAAGACAATAGTAGATCAAACAGGAAACACACGGACTATTACCACATTTCGTACCCGCTCAAGGGGGGAACTACAAGACCTAGCGAAGGATACCAAAATTCAACCAGGCGAGACCATAGCCATTTGGCTAGGGCGATTGGTGCTAGAACATGGGTCAGAAATAGTTGACCGTGAGGAGTGTTCGGCGCTTATGCGACAGCCAGCTTGGAGCAGGGGGGCACGTGCGGACACTGACAGGCTGTTCCGTAACCGGGAATGGCCCATACCCCTGCCGGCGGCCACCATCCCGGCGCTCACGATCCGCACCCATGCCTGGCATGCAGACCTGCCCCTTGCGCCTACACCCACCCAACTCCTATATGCCATAGTGGGGATCAGTTATTTGACCTGGGACGCCACCGCCAGACCTCTAGGCCTTACGTACGCTGAAACATAGGGTGACTGGCCTCACCGCTATTGTAACGACCCGGCAAGGCTCCCGGTATCCGCCACGTCCATAGAGTCGTGTGTGGAACTATACGGAGGCCCCAACGCCCCCAAGTTCCGGCTTCTACTGAGCCCATTAATTGGAGACCCCCTCGGAAATGTTTTAAGCTCCCTAGGGAGACTAGCGAACGCCCAGCGGGGACAACACGCACAGACAGTTGCTGCTGCCACACCACGATGGTCGAATGCGCCAGACAAACCCCACCAACCTCGGGACCCGGGACCGCCGGAGCAATCTCCGGAGGAACGGGCCATGTCCGGGTTCCTTCTCAACAAAAGCGGCCTGACCAAGGCACAAATCCGCCATCTGGGAGACGCAGCCCAACGGGCCCTGGCGGAAAACCTGGGCTTTACGTTCCGGTCAGGGGATGTCCAAAAAGAAAAAAACGAGTAGCGGCCGCCGGGACGAGCTACACCGGCCGCGACCCCACGGATGACCGCCCATACACCACTTTTAACGTGAGTGCAACTTCTTCGCATGCTATCCCTATTTGGTTTCTCCTTGACACGGGCGCACAAGTTAACGTGTTACGTCCTGAGGTCCCCCACGTGCACACTTCCAAGACTTTGTTTGTCAGGGGCCTTCACGCGACCTCAGCCACCACGGTGGTAAAATTTTTCATCGCACCTTACCCCCTTTACGCAGTTATGGGCGACCTTAACATCCTAGGCATGCCGGCCATCAAAGCCCTAAAGCTAAAGCACGCCATTTATTCGTCCCTCCCTTTAACTATTACTCCAACTACAAAGCATCAACCGCAATTGAGTGTCCCTATGGCATGGCGTTACCAGCCCATCCCCACGCGACCAGCGCTACAGCCCAAAGTCGACGCACTGTTACGGGGTTTAGAACAACAGGGACGCATTCGGTCGGTCAATGCCTCAACCTACTTATCTGCGGGCTGGGGTATCCCCAAACCCAGTAGCCCCAACGATGCTCGTCTAGTCATAGACTACCGCCAAGCTAACCGCCGGTGTGTACCGCTCCAGCTCCTGGCCACGCACACGATTACGGAAATAATGGACACCGTGACGGCCGTTCAGCGTGAAGGAGAATGGTTCGCGACCACCATCGACCTGAAGCACATGTTTTATTCTATCCCTATTAGTGACCCACAAGGGGTACTTAACATGTGTGTGGGGGGAAAGATGTACACCTGGGCGGTTTGCCCACAGGGGTACCGTAACGCCCCCGCGCTGGCTACCGCGGCCATGGGAGAGACATTGCGTGCCTTTGAGCCCCAACACCCGCCCCACACTCACATATGGTCCTATGTTGATGACATCATCGTCCTCGGTGCTGACCGCGCCAGCGTTCGGGCCACCACGGCCTGCCTCAATCAACATCTACAGGACGCGGGGTGGACCGTAAATGCAACAAAGTCCCACCTCGAGCCCACAACGGACATCACATTCCTGGGGACTCGATTCTCCGGATCATTCCGTTGGGGAACCGTGCACGGAAGGGACGTCCCTCCGTTGGATGCACACCCAAATACCCTGAAGGATTTTCAGGCTCTACTCAGCCACTTAAATTGGTTTCGCAACTTTCTTACACCCGATCACCTTCCCCTCTTACAACGCTTACAACAACAAATCCAGAAAAAGACCCAGCGTCGTTGCCCCTGGACACCCAGAGATCAACGCAACCTCATCGCTTTACTAACCACAGTTCGAGAGACGAAGCTTCAGGCCCCGCCAGTGACCGCGCGACTTGCGATCTCCATTGGATATACCACCGCTCACCTCTGGTTCACCGCTTCCGCCTCGGATCAAAAGCCTTTAGCTTTCGCGGGTCACAAAACCCTTCAATCACATCAACATCTGTACGGATGTCTGGAAAAGATTATGTTGGCCTCCCAAATGGCAGAACACTTAGCTCCATCGCTGGGGACACTCCTTGGGCCAGGGGTGAGCCTACTCACATCTCTCGACCCCTTCCGGCCCCATCAAGAGTTCCAGGGGACTCTTAAAACTTGGACCGGCCTTGTTCTACGACATCAATATTATTGGTCCAGCTGGACCCACTCTGATGCAGAGGGATTTCACAACACCACCACTGAAAATACGCCCGCCAGGCCTACTCTGTATGGTACAACAACTCTAGCCTGGATGGCGGCCGATGGTACCACTCAAGGCAACGGCCGCTACGGTTATTACTGCAAGCCGTGTTACGATGTTCACGTCGTCTCATCTGATCTCGGTCCTAACTTGGCACGGCAAAACAAACTACTCGCTTTTCACAGCGTTTTAGAACATTGTCTCGAATGCCACAGTGGCACCCTCCCGGTACCCATCATAGCCATCGACTCTGAATATATTTACTGTATCGCCACGGGTGCCGCCGACCCCTCCAAGAATTTAACACATTGGGAGGACATCTTCCGGATTCTCCACCACTTCGTTGTCCTCCCCATGCTCAAACATACCCGCTCACACCAACCCGACACCGACCCGGTACATGCTATCATCGACAAGTTATTAGCCGCCAACTCCCAAGATGAGTTCATTGCAGCGTGGCCAAAGGATGTTCAAGCGGTTTTTACTACTAAAGCGGGCTATAACCCTTTCTTGTCTTGGCTTCACGAATACTGGGGTCACCCGGGACCCCGCAAGGCCACGCACACCAGGCACACCCACGCACCGATGGGGCCTGCACCCTTGTTACAGGATTGGCAAGACATCTCACAGGCCTGTATAGCTTGTGCCCAAAATAAACCGCACCCACACCGGCATCAGCGGGGCACCTTCTATCCTGCCCTCTTTTCCCCCGGAAAAACTTGGCAATTGGACCTCCTCGGACCCCTTCCCGGGGCCAAGCCGCCAAACAAGGCCCTCGCTATAGTGGACCTTGGCTCCCGACAGCTTCTCATTCTCCCTACTCGTCGCTCAAATGCCCCTGCCATCATGACGTGTCTCAACCATGCATTTGCCCGCTGGCAGGTGCCCCATGTCATTCACTCAGACGGCGGGCCCCCCTTCACCTCTAAGGCACTAGATAACTTTGCCCAGGAGCGCAACATACAGTGGCACCATCACCTTCCCTATCATCCACAATCTAACAGGGTCATTAAGCGACACATTGGTCTTTACAAAGAACACCTTCGTCTTCAGGGAGGGGGCTTCTACAAAAATTGGACCAAACACTCCGACCTAGTCCTAACCGCTCTCAACAGCGACAAACCCCTTTGGGAAGATCGCGCCCCCCTGGACTCCCTGCTACGTGGCCTCAGACCAAGTCTGGGTCTTCGTTCCTGCTGCAAATGATCGCTGGCCTGTCCCCGTCGCAGGGACAGTCATACAGACCGGGGATTTCTTACTTAATTTTCTACTTAATTTCTCTCCAAGCAGCCTCTCCCCCACGCACCGTCTGGGCCCACCACAACTGGCTAAGTCGTCGAACAGACTTATCTCTTGTGACTCCCTAACCCCTGTCCGTAGCTGTTATATTTTTCAGATCCGTCATCATGACGCCCTCTACATCTCCATATGCGTGTTGTATCCTGTTGTTCTTGACCGATTGGGCCTCGACCAACCATGCCGGCTTAGACCTTCCTCTGCATGTACGGGACGCCAACTCACCACAAGACGCCAGCCCACTGCCGTCGTCGAACACCGTCTTACTTATGTTGTCCGCTTGGGCCGAGACCCTCGGTACTGCCACTAACCACTCCAGTCTTACTGCATGTCTCCGTCTTCCCCTTTCCGTTTCTGATCCGGTACTCATCCCCTATCTTGAACCCCTCGACGTTCCGGCCTGGTTCTGGGATAGATCCAAAGATAGCCCCCTGTCCATTACTGTTCATTACGACTGGGGCAGCACCAAATGGGTTCCCAGGAACACAACCTATACTTGGCCGCCAGATATTACATTTGCCCACCTAAACACGACCACACGAAACTGCACGTCAACATCCACTGATCACGTAGCAGGGGCCATAAAAGTAGGTGCTGCTAAGCCAACTTCATGTTCTTAGGTCCCGTGGGGAATCAACCCTCAGGGCATGAGTTGCTCCAGACCTGACAACTCTCTAGCTTGGAATCCACAAACCTTAACTCCCCCTTGGTACCTCAGACTCCCGCCTTGCACCAATCCTTGTGCCAACTGTTCAGGTACTCACACCAGTTGTCCACTGAGACCTGGCCCTGCCCCTCAGGTTACCCTTTCGCCTTTTCACAGACCCCCATCTCAAGTTACCTGGAACGCGTCTTTAGCCGTCAACGTGTCCAAAAATTCAACATGGCATTCCTTTTTCTATCCTATTTTACGCGCGGCATTAATAAGTTCGGCTTGTCACAGTGCAAAGCTCATCCCTGATAGACCTCCATGGGCCTGGCAAGTGTCTTCTTTTTTGGGCGACTGTGCACAGCTGTCTACCCCTGCTCCATTAGGGCTACTATGGGCCTGCTCTGATGGCCGGCTGTACACCGCCTTTCCTGCCACCCTCACCGGCATCCAGTGTTTTCTCACCCATGTGGCGTTGTGTCCCCCCCTTATACGCTAATACGCATTTACCCCACAGTCTTTTCATACACTGTCACCGAGCTATCCGTGAGCCCTACCCACACCAGGACACATGGAGCCAACTACCCTGGCACAAATGTTTATGGGAAGCCATAAAATGAGGAGCGGAATCCCTCATTCCTGGGTACGGAGGAACCAAAGTCCGCCTGGCTCTCGTACAACTCATCGAACAAGTGGAGGAACTTACCAATACAACTCACACGGCGATTCAACTGCTTAACCTCCAGTTGCAGGCCACCTCCCAGATGACTTTACAAAACCGCTTAGCATTAGATGCCATTCTTCTTCAACAAGGTGGACTTTGTCAGTACCTTAATCTTTCTCGGGACCATTGCTGTATTGCCATTCCCAACGTTTCCCTCACCTTACCTCTGCAGATCGACAAAATGAAGGAAATTGTGGCAAAGGTCAACCGACTCTCGGGTATAGGCCAGGGTTGGCTATCAGACCTCTTCCGTTGGTTTGGCTGGGACACGTCGTCATGGCTCCTCAACTTGCTCATGCCCTTCATCACGCTTTTGTTACCAATTGCAATCTTTCTCTGTTTTGGTTGTTGGATCCTGCAGTATCTCAAAACAAAACTAACCTTGCTGTCTGCTTTTGTATACACCCGCTTGCCGACAAGCCCCAATTTTATCGATCCCGATCCCATTGTCCTTGAACCTCTCTCCTAGTACATCGACAAAATGTCTAACTGGTCAAGGGGGGATGTGTAACACTTGCTTACTCCCAGGTGACCAGCTGTCATTTTGGGTAGTACTCACTCCCAGATAAACAGCCGCAGCCATTTCGTAACCAACCACGCTTCTTGCCTTAGCTGTTAAGCACAACCCCAAACCCTGGGGAGAGACCGCCATATAAGGGAACGAACAGAATACTAGAAGCCAATTGGCTTACGGGGATACATACAGGCGTGGTAGCCTTATAAATCACCATAAACCTGGAAGAGAACACTCCGGAGTCTGAGACTAAACGAGCAGGGTGGAATCTGGCCAATTCTGCCTCCAGTCTCGCGAACGCCCGCCGATATCCGAAACCCAGGGCGATCCCTTCGTATCCCGAATAAGCAATCTCTCCCAGGGGAGCGAACAACTGCAGTTCCTGTAACCACAGCAATAACTGATTACCACTTTAAGAAAACTGGGCCTTACTACCAACGTGAGTACAAAAATAAAACTTTTTGCATTACGCTTTAATTGCCAAGGAACTCTGCCTCTGTGTTATTACCTCCTCGTTCTCACCCGGGGCGTTTAACTCGACGTGTCTGTGACAGTTATAAGGCATCTTCCTTTGTCAGGAAAAACAGTCATACCTTTAATCAAAACAGTTACAGCAGTACAACCCAGCTGTAGAATGGCTCCAAGAGAATTTTGCTTGAGAATGCTTTGAAGCAGCGGAAAAGATCAGGCTACAGTGGTACCCATTCATGCCTAAATGTTGCTCCAGTCAGTCAGTAGTTCTCCAACTTACATGCACCATTTTATAAGACGATGATGAATCTTTTCATGCACCCTCTTCTTTTCTCCAGCTGCAGGGAGCAGCAGTGCTATCAAGTCCCTGTTCTCCTGCGTGCCATTTCATTTCAGAATGAGTACTTACACATTATTTTGCTGACTTTCCAGGAAGATCACTTTGGTGATGCCATATGCTTAGTTTTTACATATTGCAGGTCACAGCCTCTCATTTCAACAGGGACCCCAACTATAATACAGTAATAACTACATTATTTCATTACCTCCATTAAGTATTGAGACCTAATTCTGCAGATGAGTAGAAACTAATGCTTGTGGAGGGGCTTTGAGATCCTTGGAGAGAAGGCATTGTGAAAGAGAGAACTCCTGTGCCCTATATGCCAATATAATGACCGAAACTAGATGATCATACATTTGGTACAGGGATCAACAAAATCTGATTTGTTTGGTGGAGTGTATGTCACTAGCCATTCTGATTTTCCTTGTGTGTGACACCAAGGTACACTTAAAAGGACTTTCAGACAGAGCATCTGGGATGACTCCTGGCAGCTTGGAACATGAATCTTACACCTTGGCTGTAAAGTAGTAGTGGAGCTGTTTCAAGTACTTAGAAACAACAAAATACTTGGGAGGTCTAATAGTCTTTGCTATAGTTAGAGAAGTTGAAATCTTTGGCATCTGTGAATACATTAAAAAAAGTAGTTTCCCTGTGATATTGAAGTGGATACATGTGATATACCTGGGTTTTTTTTTTAAACTTGCATGAAAGCCCTCTACATTCATGAAACTTTGAACATCATTCTTTCTGTGATTCCAAGCAGTTCCGTTCATAAAGGGGGTTTTATGTCCGTATCAAATGCTATGGAGTTTAAGAGAATCAGCTCTGGGCATTGTTTGCCTTTTTCACTAAGCTAATCAAAACATTGCCATCAGTGCTTCTCTCCTCAATGAATAACCAGATGTGAGGTCAGAATAATGAAACTGCTTTGAAGTCAGAACCCTGATGTGACAAGGTAGTCACAACTAAGTGGTGGGTTGGCTGAATTTCAACTTTGTAATGGGGAAAATAAATTAACTAGTTTATATTTGTATGAGGCTTTCAACACACTTGATACTAGGAGGGAAAATGTTCTTGTGAAGGCGTAAGATTTACAGTAGTCAGATCAGGGTTCTCTTCTTGTCCTCTCTGAGCTTATGCAGTGACATCAAGCAAATTATCTATGCATAGACTTTCAGACATAAATAACCAAGTGGATAATTAAGCATTTGATTTCGGTGCCTAGTGATAGATACCCATGTTTGAAAATTGTGGTTCGAGTTCCTTTGCCTTTTACAAGTATAAAATGGGGGATTGTACAATTTAATTCAGTGCGTTTTTGTTGGGTGCAGCAGTGACTGCCAGTAGACAAAACCTTTACATCTGTTTTGCTGACTCCATTTTTTTAAAGCGTGTTGATTGAACAGTACTAAGTTAACTGCTTTATTCAAAGAACAGAGAGAAGTTGACAGAGACAGCAGAATCTTGAGAAGTAGGTGTAAGAGCACTGATCCAGAAAAAGCAGCCCAGAGCTTCTGAAACCAGTGTAAATCTATATTCAGTCTTAAAAGATGGATTCCTTTTTCTCTGTGCAAATTTGCTTTTATACTTTCTGCATACGTTTGAAAATACATTCTTTGGCTTCTTACATTGCATAGCACAGTAATGCAGCAATGTGTTTTTCGAAGCAACGTGGAAGTTAAAACATTAGTATTTACATCCTCACTGGGTCACATACTGGTGTTGGTTTGTGTGGCTTTTTAGGTTGAGACCTGGCAAACATTCATGAGAGGTAAATTCTTCAAGTGCTTGTCTCTGTGCATTCCTGTCTGTATGTGCATGTGCTCTATGCACCCAAGACTAGACATTTTGCCAGCAGCATACATTCCATTGGCAAACATGCCCTAACCATCCTCACACACCAAACTGAAGGTATATATGTGGCAGTTTGGGACTGACTGTCACTTCATTTTTTTTTCTCTACTGCTCTTGGTTTAGGGTGGAATATTAGCATCTTCAGCTAGTTTCATTTGCTGTTTGTTTTCGTTGTAAATGGTATGAAAAAATAGTTTGTCTGGTTTCTTGGTTATAATTTTAGATCCTCTCTTTTGTTGAGTGATGCAACTTGTGATACAACTTTCATGTGAAGTGAATCTGAGGTGGCATGGAGCTCTTTAGTCGAACTTCCAATAAAAAGTTGTTCAGCTGGTGCCCATGCAACGTCATTAGCCTCCCTTAAAAATATCTCATTGATATATGTGAACAGCAGTGTGGGTCTCACTTCTTTCAAGGATGGTGTGCTCAGATGTAAACCTTTCAATAAGACCTCTTACAATTCAGTGTATTTGCACCAAACTCTTAGTATACTGTTTGGAAGTCCTGGCGAATGTTTGTCCCTCTGTGTATTCTTTTGCTGGGGAGAAAATTATTTACTGGTAATGGAACTGGAGTTCTTAGAGGTGAAGAGTCCCCATGTATGTTCTACTATCTGCTCTCTTTGCCATCTGCTTTGGCTTCCTATGCTCTTATTTATGTAGCTATCTGCAAGAGAAAGGAGTACAGAGAAGGTTATTGTCTGCTGCTTTATGATATTGGTAGACTGACTAGATACTGAATTTCCAGTCTTGGGGCAATGAGGTGCATGTGTGCCCACAGTTGAATTCAAACAGGAACAAAACTCAAACTCCGTTTGCTATACTTATGAGTAAGGTTTCTGTTGGGAAGTGAAGGGACAACATTACTTTATGGAAAATATTTTAAAATGGTATTTGATTGCAGTAAAATAAAATAATTTTAGAAAGTCATGGTGATTGTGGATTATTAGGGTGTTTCAGGTTAAAGGAATTTTATTTGCAAATCTATAAATGTGTTTTGAGTGTTTATTTTTATATAGTTGACACTAAGTGTTAGATCTACCAGGCAAGAGGTTATATATCTGTTCTTTACCCTTCTCTTTACATACAGGTGCAGTTGGGGCAAGCAGATATAAAATGTCCCATCACTGAGTGCAATGAACATTTGGATGAAACAACCATCCTCTACAATCTGCCACACAACGACATCATCAAGTATAAATATTTCCTGGAACTCAGCCGTATTGACTCCAGCACCAAGCCATGCCCTCAATGCAAGCACTTTACAACCTTCAGGAGGAGAGGCCACATTCCAACTCCTACCAAATTGGAGAACAAATACAAAGTGAGCATGCTCGCCAGAGCTAAGGATTAAACGGCACAGCTATTAAACAGCAAAAGTAGGACAGCATGTGGTGGGCATTAAATAGGCTTTCTTCCATTACTGGAGCCTAATATAAGCTGTGATTTAGAATATGAACCTGTAGAATCATATATCTGAATGACTAGTCTATTAAATGGTTGAAGCAGTTGAACATTCTTTCTGTGTTGTTGGTGCCAGGACTGTTCTGGCCCACTAAATTTTCACTGTGCCTTGAATAATGATAGTGTCCTTCACTCAGCTGTAAATATTAATTTAGATAGAAGAGAGGTGGGTACAAGGAAGGTGGGATTGCTGAAGTTCATTTTTCAAAATTACCTAGATGTTTTAACTGCAGTAACTAGCTAGCTAATGCAGGATTTGTGTGTCTGAATCCCCTGGTCAACTAAAGTCTTAAAAGGGCATTGGAATCTTCTGTTAAATGTGAGGTGTGCCAGTAGTACAGTCTTGCAGTTCTGAGTATTTGTGCATGACTTAAGGAAGGATTTTTCTTGGGGTCTCTTCTGTTGCTCTAGGTCCACATACTTATAGGTGTGACAATCTCAATAACTTCCTGCATTATAAATCTTCAAAGTTATTCTGATTTACAGATTAAGGGTTTTGATGCTATCTCCCATGACATTCTTATTAACAAGATAAGGAAATACAGACTAAACTAAAGTACTGTAAGTTGGATACATAACTGGTTAGTTTATCATGTTTGAAGAGTAATTGTCAATGGCTCAATGTCTAATTGGGAGGATGTATCAAGTGGAGTTCCCCAGTGGTCTGTCCTGGATCCATTATTGTTCAGCATCTTCATTAATGATTTGGATGATGGGACTGAGTGCAGGCTTAGCAAATTTGAAGATGAAATTAAGTTGGTTGGAGTTGCCGACATTTCAGAGGGTAGAGCAGTGATCCAGAATGACGTGAGTAGACTGGAGACATGGCCCATAATCAACCAGATGGAATTCAGCAAGGTCAAGTGCAAAGTTCTGCACTTGGGATGAAATAGTTGCATGTACAAATATGAGTAACTAGGATGCAGTACTGCAGAGAAAGACTTGGGTGTTCTAGAATTACATAAGATGAATATAAGCCAACAGTGTGTTCTTGTTGCAAAAAAGGCCAATAGGATACTGGGTTATAGTAATAGGAGTGTCACTTGCAAATCAAGAGAAATGATTCTTATACTCTATTCAGCACTGGTGAGGCCTCACCTGGAGTACTGCATCCAGTTTAGAGCAATTATGATTCAGTCATGTAGCCTAATGGCAGCCACCCTTTTTGGGCTAGCATATCACAAAGTAAGGGCCCCCTCCCTAAGTGCCTCTCAGTCAACTTCCCTTTTCTGCTGTGCTTACTTCTCCCTGCCTGATCCAGTGCTCTGTTCTCCTCCCTGCCTTCTTGATGTTGTTCTTCCTGCTCCCTGCCAGATCTGCTGCATGCCAAACAAAGCGCCTGCATGTGTCACTTGTGGCATGTGCCATGGATTGGGCACCCCTGTTATAGTCCTTAGCTCAGGCACCCATTATTGTTGTTAGATTTGTGACAGCTTGGTAAAAATATGTTGAGGATACCTACAGATAAGTGTGGAGGCTGCTCCGACATGCTGGAAATTGAGCATGTTGGAGCAGACTTATTTAATTGAGTCTGCTGAAGTGTGGCAATTGCTGTACTTTAGCAGTCTCCTATATCTCATGTGTCAGCATCTCGTGCTTAAAATAGTGGCGGGGATGCTTGATTTAAAGCTCATTGAATGAGCTTGAGTTTGAGCCCCCCCTGCTGTCATGTTTAAGCACAGGGATGCTGATGCATGAGATGCAGTGGCACTTTATTTAGAGCAGTTCTTGGATCCTCTGTAACTAAAGTGCTGTTCCTCGCCCCCTCCCTTCCCCCAGAGCACATGTAAACTTGCCCTGAGTCCTGAACTTTATGTAGAATTTCTAATCTGTACAGAAAACCCAAGGATCGCAGGGGTACCCTTATAGCACTGAATCCTCTAGCAGCTTTTAGATGGGTAGAATCCTGGCATGATCATTTAATCCCAGTTTTTAGGACTGTGTTGTTCCACTGTAGCGTAAAAGTATATATAAACTATAGGCTTTTCCCTTCAGGCATCTAGTACAAAATATCCATATGTGAAATAAAGCTATCTTGTAGCACTAATTGGATATATTTTTAACTTTTTCTCCTTTTTGATAAGACTGCTCTAAAATCCAATTCTGTTATCAGGATCTGTCAGATTGTGTTTTCTCAGAGTGACTGCTGTGATGCCTTTCCACAAATACCTGTGGAACTGAGTGGATTTGAGTTTTGATTGTTTTATAATCTGATACAAAGCAGTAAACTTTCTATGAAATATTTGATAATGGGAGCGTTACCCAGAAGAGCTGTTCAAGTCACCTGCTTTTGTTTCTCAGTCGCACTTGAAAGAACGAACTGTTTTGACCTGGAGGCATTTCTCAGAGTATGTCAGAGCAGCTGCTATGTTTAAAGTAACATGGCTGTTATTCCTTGCAAGTTGTGTGATTTCTTGTTTTGTTCAGCATTAACAAGTGTGAAGTGTAGAAAGCCCCTAAGCAGTCCTGTGCAGAGATTACCTTCCCCTTCTGATGCTGCTGTACTAAACACCTCTTTTCCCTGTGACTTGTACATGTAAGATGCAGCCTGCCTTATGCATTCTTGCATTTTATCTCCTATTGTAATTGCCACAATTTTCTTTGCTCAGGCTTGCAAATGTAGCTTTGCCTCACTAATATCCATCCAGAATGCCGATGCAAGGAAAATTGTCCCAGTTTGTTGCTTTAATCACCTCACCCTTTTTTCATCCCTCTGCTGGTTTCTTAGGTTCTAGCACAGAGCTGTCTAACTTCTGAATGGCCAGAGGACACACACCTTACAGGCCCTGCACTGCATGCATAAGTGGGCAGGCACCCTGGACCCACCATCAGCTCCCCTGGTCTAGCAAATCAAAAACTTTCTGTCCCTTTCATTCCTCATGGAAAGATCAGCTCCCAGCTTTAGTCAGTCCTTGGTGTCAGCCTCCATCATCTGCTTGGTAGATTTCTCAAGCAAATATGCTTAGGAGTAGTAGCCTGTGAGTATCCTCAAAGTTACCTCGTTATTCTTTTTCAAATCCCTTCATAACGCTCTCCTTTGGCATGATCCGTTTTGTTTGTTTTTGTTTTTTTACGTTACCTTGCTGATTTGCTGAAACTACTGCTCATCATGCTGACAAAGGGCCTTGTTACCCAGTAATTCTGGATGGCTCCTGGAAATCTGAACCCCTGAATTGTCCTGACATTGACATCTGAAACAGGCTTTAAGCACTCATTATGCGGCTTAAAGTTACGCCACTCCAGAGCAGGATTATCATCCATGCTACTCAGCTCACATTACACTAAGATGCAGTCACTTTAGGCTACATCCTAGTGAAAATACCCCATTCGCCCCCACCTCCAGTGGTGGGGAACAGTGGGCTCAATCCAAGCCACCAATCCGGATCCCCGCTTACTGCCCATCGGCCATTCTCCACTCCCAGCTTACTTATGTCTGCCCATGTTGTTAACTGCCTGCCCTGCTGCTACTGCTACTGCTCTCTGGGGCAGAAGAACATCAGCAGGGCAGTGGTGGCAGCTAGGCAGGGAGGTTAACCTTTCCCTTCCTGCTTTGCCAGGATGGACAGTGTGGCCAACCACAATTAAGTAATGCCTCGTGGGTGTTTAGGAGGTAGGAGGGGAGCCCCAAGAGGCAGGGGACGAAAACTGGGGGGAATCCCAGGGGGGCAGAGGGAAAGCCTGAAATTGGGGTGGGGGGGAGATTCTTACTTTTCAGTCCTCCTGGCCCCTTCTGGCCTGAAATGTGACTGCTTCAAACTCAAGCTAGCATTAACACCCATCAACATTAGTGCAGCTCAGTGTGAGATGTAACAAGGCCCTAATATTAACTACTTGTTTCCTTCTGTACTGTTATCTATCTGGTACTTAGTGTAAAATCTTTGGGGACAAGGAGTGTCTTTTTCTTTTGTTTATGCTGTGCCTCACACATGGGATCCTAGGCTCTGACTGGGGCTCCAAGTTACTATGCAAATCTAAATAATAGAAAATAATTGCATCTGGGGACATCTGAATTGCTGATAGGAAATGTGCTGCCTCTGAATGATTTGGTTCATACACATGATGTTTACAGAATGGCAGCAGAGGGACCAAGGTCTAGGAGTAGCTCAGCAGTGGTGCTGATACTGCTGTGTTCAGTATAGCACAACTCCTAGCTTTTAAAAGAAAAGAGTAAACTAGCCCTAATGACATATCCATATCTGTGTGTGTGTGTGTGTATACACACACATTCTGTTCTATTCTATTCTATTAATATATAAAGAGATTACAAATAGTTCAACACAAGGCTTACACATCCATTTGTTACACCTCTTAATCTGAATACAGGTTTTCAGTTTAGTGTGTTGTGTTTTAATGGCTGAGGGCTTTTTTGCCAATGAAAACAATAGGGTGGGTAATTGTCTAAAAGTAAAGGATGGGCTCCACCCTGAAGCCCACTGTCTGAATTAGGGATAGCAAACTCATTCTGTGGTGCTGGAGAGATTTACTTTTTTTTATTAGTCTTTGGGTCAGAAATGAAAAGTTCATTAATAGGAAGTAAATTTTGCAACCACAGAAGGGAACCTCCTCGGTAAAATTTAAAGAGTGACATGTTGGTCCCATGGATTGAAAATAAATTAATTTGGATTAAACTTCCTGTCCTGTATCCATTATTACCCATCCCATTAATGAACTTTTCATTTCTGACCCAAGGACTAATCAAAAAACCCACCCTTCCTCCCAGCATAAATTGCTCCATAAATTAATATGCTGCTTAACAGCATAAATAAATGAACAAGGAAAATGGAGGCAGATTTGTCCACCGTCTCTCTTGCTTCTTTAGACTTCATTGCTTGAAGGTAGGATCCTGAAGTTTCTAAACTT